GTAGATACTCTTGGGAATGGCATACAATCATACTTTTAACAAACTGGACATAAATCTGTCAGGAAAAATTGCCTTTGTTTTACATTTCTCTACCGAAGTTTTCAAGTGCGTACATTTTTATAAAGTTCCGAAGTTTTAATTATAAACGAATAAGAATTAAAGAGAGTAGCAATTTTTACATAACTGTTCAAAACAGAATAATAATTGCATTGTTTTAAATGTTACATTTTGGTACATGAATTTTCTTGACAGTTTATCGTAAATGAACAACTTATGCATAACGTTATTGGAAAGTTAAATAATGTTCATGAAAAGATAAAAGCTATCCATACTAACACTACACACACGCACACACACATAGAGAGAAAAATATACGCAAAACTACATGCACATCCACATATGCACACGAACGCACATCTACATACATATGTGCAAACGCACCAACATACAATATATATGTATGTAGCATCATTGTTCATGTTAGAATGTGTCAATATTTTTTTCTATCAAAATATTTATTTGAATTAATTTATATAGTTATATATATATATATATATATATATAATTAATCCAATGCATCGCCTTTTACTTTCTCTGTTTAATGTAACGGTTGGCTGTTAGAAAATGTTATCAAGCATTATGCCCACCCTTTATACATATTTTAATATGACCAAAAGAATAAATAAATAAATAGAAACAGCATACACACATGCACACGCACAAACTCTCTCTCTCTCTCTCCTTCTCTCTCTCTCTCTCTCTCCCTCCCTCTCTCTCTCTCTCTCACACACACACACACACACATATAAAATTCCAAAATTAAAATAAAAAATGATGTGTTAAAATTTTAATAAATACCTACTATAAGTAGGTATACACACACATATAATATATACACACACAATAAAGGAGTAAGGTTTTTTTGTATACACTTATAATATTTATGAAATTTTTACAGTAGGTATATACCTTAATAAGAACGATACGAGTATGAACAATATGTCGGCAGACGCCCGCATGTTATGCTGAATTTGCTATCACTGAAATCTGGATAGAATCTAATAATACCTTGGACTTAATTAATTCCCGTCAAATTGTAGAATACAAACACGACAGATTGGTATTATTGAAATTTTATAACTAAATTCTTATTAAATAACTTCATACAGAAATCTCTGCGATTGTCTGTTTATAATATTCTCACATATAACTGTTAAATTAATTTATATCAAATTTTATAGAAAAAAAAATAATATCAAGCCTCAATATTGAACTTAGAATAATGTGACTTGATCAACAATTATATTATTTTAATTAACCTAATTAGTAGAACAATATGTTTATTTTTTTTTATTAAAAAAAAAGAAGTATTTCAACAAAATTTTAATAACTTAATTATAATACTTTTCTGGTTTAAAAATATACATTGGAACACTAAAAGCTCATAGATTCTTTTATGGCATAAATGGTATATAATCATGGCTGTTTGTATATATTTGGTATTCATATATACTTAATCATCTAGACTAATATTGTAAAGAAAAAAAAAAGTAGTTCATTTATAATGTATAAACTCAAAATTTACCTCAAACTTGCTAAAAAGCTGCATTATCAGCGAATAATATATTATTTAAAAAAAAAATTAGATATCCCTATGAAAATTACATTAATGTAATCCAAAATATCAATAACTTTCCTATTAAAACTTATATAAAATACTAATTGATCTTTCTATCTATCGACACGCGCTAAACCAGGGCGTATCGCTAGTTTATTCATAAACTGAATTCATATTTTAATACACTATCGGGACTTAACGATATAAAAAATTTTTACAGGTAATTAGTACCAACATACCTGCTTCTTTATTGCCGACTACTGAATTTGCTTTTAGATATGTAATTATTTACTAACTTATTACTTAATTTTTTAATCTTATAGCGGCAAATAAGCTGCAACTTAGAATGGCAAACAAGCTGATGGAAAATGGTAACCGTTGACTATAGACTAGATAAAAGAGGGTAAATGAAAAAAAATTACATCATAGTAAGACTTAAATGATTTTGTTTCTACATTAAGTAAACTTCAAGTAATATAAGTTCTATTTCCTTTAAAAACCGAAACATCAGATCAAAACTACACACACGTAGACATATACGCACACAATATACACACACACAATAAAAAAAATCGATGTTTAATTTAAAACTTTCTCGTTTTTAAAACTAATTATAAAAAACTGCATATTTTTATATGTAACCGATAAATTACACGTGTATAGATAAACGTTATCCGTTACACTGAAATCGATAGTAATAAAATTTCTGTCAGTCTGATGTCGTATCCATAAATTATTAATGCAAATATATGAATCGGGATATGACGTGTTAGGGCGACAAACAAAGTTATAAATTGTTCTGGCTCTTTGTTTATTTATTACCCATTTTGGCTGAGTGATGATATGTTAATACTATTGATAGATATTCAATAGTCTCATATAATTATGGGATCTATCTTAAAACTTACTTAATATTATGCTTCAAATATTGTAGGTTATTTATTTACAAGTTTATAAGTTATTCTGACGCTTTATAAACTTATTACTCATTTTGGCTGAGTTATTTAAATATTAATACTTACTAACTTATTATCATTTTTATTCAATACAATTATAAATTCAATACCGCATACTTAAAAATACTAGTAATATAGGTATTTAGGTATTTATTTACAAACAAATTAATAAATTGTTCTAGAGCTTTACGTACTTGTTACCTATTTTAGCTAAGTGATGATAGATTAATTTATCTATATATCTATAATATATCTATTGATAAACATTGAATAAACCCTCATAATTCAGCATCGTCTTGCTTTTCTTTACTTTACTTTGATTAGATTTCTGCTATAAAAGATATCACAAATATTTATTTACAGCAAAGTTATATACTGCTTTAGCACTTGAATCGATTATAACCCTTTTATCATAACTATTAGAAGTATTTACGATCTGTAAATATTTAAGAAGTTCCTTATAATTATAGGGTTTATTTTAACATGTAATTAAATTTACATTTTACATTCATTACATGCATACATTACAAACCAGAGGGAGACTTTGTACAAAAGTCATTTGCTTGGGCGCCTCTATCCCATTCGTGTTTCTACCGCGCGCATGAAGTAGTTGTGTTTGCATGGCTGTGTTTCGGTTTGAAGAGAGGGATATGGCAGTAAATTTACAAGGTATAGAGGAGTAACGCCTGAATCCTCAAGAATGGCATCACATGGGAGGCTATATGGGCGAAACAGTATACTCTGTTATGTCCATGGTACGACTCATGTCTATAAGCGACGATTACCACTTTCCATCAGGTGGGCCGTCAGTTTGTTTGCCATACTAAGTTGCATAAAAGAACAAACATAAATTATTTTATGTAAACTCAAAATTTATTCTAATATTTAATTTAATTACTAGCCATTTTGGCTGAGTAATCAAAGTAAATCAATAGAAGTAATTGAATAATACGTTCTAATTCAATAACAACACAGTAACAGGAGTATGAAGTTTACGGAGAAAGCTGCATACTTGTTTGTTAAGAATATAGTATAAAAAAAGATATAAAAAACATAATTATCATCTTTGAAACTTTATTTCATATTATTTGCCGTCAGCGTAATATGTGTTTTATTTTTCATTTATATCTATTTGTAGTCATTACTACATTAACTCCTTCACTGGCCATGTTGTGTTTCATACAATTCATCTGTCTCTTTTTTGATTTTCCTCTAGCATTCTAACCACCTACATCCCCACGTAATACTTATTTTAAATCATTCTCTTCAATTCTGTCGGTACCGAGAAGAGAGAGAGAACGGTTACTTCTTAACTTTTCTATTACTGGCGCTTCTTTTAAACTTCTTCTTATATTCTTATTCCTAATCTTGTCCATCACTATTATATCATACATCCATTTCCAGATCGCATCTTAGTCACATACTGTCATCTATTGTCCGTCCTCTATCTTGGCTGAGTCTTGAATCCATATAATGAGTTATGTAAATTTTCCATTTATAATTTTGGATCAAATTTTAAAACTTGATCAAAAATTGAACCTTAGTAGTATAGTATATGTACTTAGATATTTACTTCTCAATGAGATTATAAAATCTTTTTTGATTACAAAATTTTTAGGTCCATTTTAACACGTTACTTAAAATTATACCTTAAACATTTCTTTCTTTCTTCTTGTATAAATATTTCTTTACAAACATATTTCTGTTGTAAAGTTATTTGAAAATATTATGCAATAAGTAGGTGTTAGAATCCATTTTAAAAACATGATCTCGATTGCTGAGAAGAACAAGGCAAACAAACTTATAGGTACCCAACCGCAAAAGTAATTTTTAAAGGCCTTTTGTTTCATTTAATATCCTGAAATTAGCATTTCCATTGTTCTTAATACTTCTACTTTACGTACGTTTGCAACCAGTTATTGTTATCATTTGAGCTCGCAATTAAGAAGAATTAATACTTCTTTAATAAAAATTTATAAATATTTTTACAATTTAAGTTACTAATTAAATTACAAACTAACATAAACTAAACAATGTAATTTACTGTTCTAAGCATAAAAATATAAATATAAATTCTTTATAATAATATATTTTAAGTGACTTTAGAAAGAAGGTTCTCAATTCGCCCCTAATTTTATTTGTATATTACACGATATCTTCGTGAACCTCTCTCTTCGTGAATCGTTCTCCAAATCTGAACCTAATTTGATAATTATTTTGCACTATGTAGAGTTTAAATCCGTATTGGATTATTTTTGATTTGGTTATGGAAAATAGCTGTTTTTTTGCAATGAATCTTATATTATTTTGAAACTTATTCATTGTTTTGCCATACATATTCGTGTAAACTTAACGTTATTAAAATTTTAAAAATAAAACATTAAATTTTATTTAGCATTAATAATCTTATAGAAATAATAACTAACCTGATTACGTCCTATAAAATGCTAGAAGTATATACACTACTCATGTCCCAGTAGTTTAGCACTAACACTCGTTATTCGTTAGACCATTACACTGCCACTGAACGAATCGCGTAATAGCTGTGTTACCTCGACACATCCGTACTCTACGGCGGTCTGTAACAAACTGCGCTTTCAGTCGTTTCATGTTCCAAGTTTGAAATCGCGTTCGGATGCCCTCGGCAAAGCTCGGGGTTAGTGCAACGTTTTCCGTGTTTTGCGTATCTTATAGGTATTTTGTTGTTCGGAATTTAAGCGAACGGCCACAGACAGATTGCACATATTTTCTTTAGATCCCTTTATGTAACTTTTCCCAATATGTAATATTGTAAGTAATATCGAACAGTTCCAGTGGTTTGCGATAGTAGTATGTAGAAATTTATAAGAACTGCATAGATAATATCAAGTTATGTTTACCTTATAAAATTTTCTGTATACTGAACATGACCATTTAGAAATTAATATCTTGTCTTTGCCAAAATGTTGACAACTTAATTGAGGATGATAATAATAAACTACATACTACTACATATAGTATGTTAATTAAAGTAATCCATTTCTCAAAATTAGTGTTAGAAATTATTAAAAGACTCTTAAAATATTTTTCTTTACAAAATAAATACATATTACCAAAATTACTATTATATTACTTAATATATATATAAGCTTATTATTCTAACAGTAATAGTATTTCAAAACTAAAATCTTGCTGGTTCAATCTATTTTACTCGATCCTATTCTTGACTATGCTGACGTTTGTTTTTTGAATGTGGTTGAGGAGCTACTAAACAAACTTGAGCGCCTTTAAAATTTATCTATCAGTTTTGTCTTCTATCTACGTAGGTACGATTATGTCTCCGCTTATCGCGCTCAGTTAAAATAGCTTCCAATCCGACTTCGGCGTGATATGCACATTCTCTTTACTCTTTATAATATACTTAATCATCCCAACTCCTCGAGTCACCTTCGCTCCCGGTTTCGAATTTGCTTCTTCCCTCACGTTTCAGATGTGCTTGCCTAGCCCAGTCCAACGTACTTGAACTCTGTACATATAAGATCCATATTTTTCGGAAATTCCTTCTCAATCCGCACTGTGCAACTGTAGAACAGACTTTCTTCTAACATATAGGATAGACCTTACATTACACTTTTAATTTTTTAACTAATAATACTTAATACTATCCACTTGCTTGTATATGTATTCTATATTGCATATATAGCACCAGAGGGAGACTTTGTACAAAAATCGATTACTTTGGGTACCTCTGTCTCATTCGTGTTTCTACCGTGAAGCAGTTGTGTTTGCATAGCTGTGTTTCGGTTTGAAGGGTGAGATATGGCGTGAATTTACAGGGTACAGGGAAATAACACCTGAGTTCTCAAGAATGGCAAAGCATGGGGGGTATCATGGGCGAAACTGTATGTATGTGTACTGTTATGTCCATGGTATTGCTCATGTCTATAGGCGACGGTTACCACTTTCCATCAGGTGGGCCGTCAGCTTGTTTGCCATTCTAAGTAGTATAAAAAAAAAATTGTTTCTTATTTTGTATTATATTTTTTATATATACATGTATTCTATTTACTTTATATTTATGCTAACTTCTCTTTTTTCTTGCACTTTTCCTGCACTAGATTACCCGCTAATCACTTTTTCACTGCTCTGGGTTGCTTGGAAGAGATCTCTTTCATAAATAAGTCCATTCTTGCTAACAATATATATATATATATATATATATATATATATATATATATATATATATATATATATATATATATATATATATATATATATATATATATATATATATATATATATATATATATATATAGTATAATAAAGAATACATAAAGTCAAATTGTCTGGAATACTATATTATATTAATTAATATTATAATAATACTATGTTGCGATGGACTGTTGTTTCGTCAACGTTTCTCAAAGTGTGTCTGTTGTAGAATAATTATGATCACATAGCACAAAGCTCTATTATCAGTGTAAATGTAGGTAGATACGCAAATTCCTCGATTAATTAATTTAATTAAACTAAATCTTGAGTACAATAGTAGGTTTAGAAACCCTCATACACGCTAACTAATTCATTCTATTCAATTGACGTGTTTCAATATAAATCTACTTCAGACAACTGCAAGAACTTGTTAGTTTTATGTAAATAATTCAATTGATGTTATAAGTGTGAAAGTTTCTTAAGGTATTTGGATGTTTGTATGTATTAACGTATAAACAAAAAAGAAACATCTAATTCAGTAAAATATTAATTTTACTGATAGGTGTTATTTTGCGAAAGTCCATATCACTGGTATAATCGACTAGATTATAATTATTTTGTATAATTCCGCTAAGATTAGTACCTATATGTGCGACTGCCAACACTCGAAGACTGACCACCACTAATACTGCCAGAAGTTCTGAAACCTTCCATACTAGCCATCATCTCCGACTGCCATTTCGTCCACGCACATTATATATATATATATATACATAAAACACAGTTATAGAAATTTTAGATATCTAAAGAAATAGGTATGCTAACCAGACAAACAAATTAAAAAGATGACAACTTGCTTAGATAAATATCCTTAAGTTTAGTTTTAAAACTCGGCAGACACTATATTGTTATATTTATATTTCTATTACATTTAGATTTGTTTCTCTAAGATTTTTATGCTTATTTTAATAGTAAATGCACCACCTACTTAAATCTCTGTCTGTCATATGTATACTTACTTATAAAATTGTGCGTCGAACTTTAAATAAATAATAAAATACATTTATTAACCAATATGTATGATCTATTTTATTTACTGAATTTATTTTCAGAATTATCTATATTATATATATTAATAGTTGGCCATGTTTCTCTCCTCAAAAATAAGGGATAAAAATTTTCCTTTAATATAATTCATTTCAAGACGACTTTAAAAAACTGTAAGCAAACAATTAACTGAGCCAACTAGAAGACAATCTACTGTTGTAGAAGAGAAAATTAAAAATCAATTAATATTATTATTTATTTATATAACTCTTTATTGCACCAGAAACATAAAATTATACAATGACAATTAAACAATTCAAGTAGAATACAGTAATATAAAATACAGATTAAAATACATATATACATATAGGTACAAAGGGCGGTCTTATCGCTTAGGGCTCTTACATACAATTATTAAATGGTTAATATAACTAAATGGTTCTATTTGTTACCAATTTCATTTATAGTGTTTCTGTATTAATAAAAACAGCAAAATTCCACCTCTTATTGTACGCACACTGCCCGCTGGTAATTAATGCTCTTTCCACTCAGGATTTGCTGGAAGAGAACTCGTACAGAGTTAAACTCGCCTGTTGTACATCTTTATTCAATAAAAATTATAAAATTGTAATTTTCTATGTACAATAAAGTATAAATTTGCTTATCTTTGCAGTGACTTCTATTAAAGGGAACTATATTTATTTATTTATATAAATTTTAATGCACAATGAAATTCTATGTTAATTTGGCGGACTTAACATCGGGCGGTGTTTTTCACCAGTTAACCATTGGGCAAACAGAGTAATAAAGAGGCGGTTTTAAATCATGACTTAAGGAAATATAAAGTAATAATTAATATATTATAAATATAAAATTAGACAAATATAAACATAAAGTGGAATATATAACTGGAAATCCTTAATTTTCAATTGTATCCCTAATATCCTTTTTATCTCTTATGACAGTAATATAATTTAAAGAATAAAGCACAGTTTAAAGTAAATTAATAAAATAGTTCAACAAATATTTTTTTATGAATTAACTATTAATATGACGATTTCAAAAAGTATTTGATTTTAATGCTCTTTTTTATATACAACATAGAATAGCAAACAAGCTGACGGCCCACTTGATAGAAAGTAGTAATCGTCGCCTTTGGACATGAACAATACCTTGGATATTACCAATGATACCACTCATGCGTTTCCATTCTTGAAAACTAAGGTAATCTGTAATTTCACTGCAATATCCCACCCTTCAAATCAAAACACTGCCATGCAAACATAACTGCTTCATGTTCGAAACACAAATGTGATTATCTACTCAAGCAAATGACTTACGACTAATATTAGACCACTACTAGGTTAAATCCATTCTATTAAGTACAGAATCGGCAAAATCGGTTCAACAATTGACGAAAATATTGCATACCTACGTAACACGCAAAGTATACAATTGGATAATATAATTGGGAGCCTCCCCTTTATTAGAGTCGGTTAAAATACCAACGTTTACCGCCAAATCCGTACAAACCGAGCGGAACAGCTAACAATAGACCCCACCAAGATATTTGACGCCCATTGAATACGAAACTTAAATTGTGCTCTCCTTCATTAGGTTGCTAAGAAACAATAGATAAAAGGGGCCATTTAAAATAATTCGTCGATAAAATTGCTAACTTTTTATATTAAGGGGCAGGTCAAACAATCTTTCATGTTCGAGTGGATGCCTATTCTCAGTAACAAGTATTGGGCGCTTTATGAAAAGTTGAGTTCGTTTGAACTTTTGTTCAGCGCTTCGACCGTTACGGACTCAGCTGTTTTATGTCTAAAAAGTATATTTTAAAAGGACATTATTAATATTTTATAATTTATTTTATAACTTTATACAAATACTTCTATTTCTCCGATGATATAAAAATATATGAAATCCCGGGAAGTGCGAATTACTCGTACACTCGAATTACCAGTTTTATGTTTCACAGAAAGTGTATATTTTTAAATTAGTTTAAAGAATTCTAAATATAATTAAGACTTAATAATAAAGTATAATTACTATTATTATCAAATTTGCTCATTATGATGCAGTGCCAATTATATATATATACTAATATAATCCTGTCTACGGATGATTAGTAGATAACGCCATATGGTGTCAAGTCCGCAATTTACACTATCCAAGCGTAATAAAATTTAATAAATAAATTAAATTAAATTTATATCTACTCTTTATAATATCCTGAATAATCCCAGTTCCTAGGAAGTAGTTCCCAGTAAAGACCTAGATGTCTTTACGTAAACCATTCTAAGGTTTTAAAGTTGTGTAAAAAGATTCTATTGCGTACTTAATAGATAAATCATTTTTTTTTTTTTCTCATTAGCCATAAATAATAAAAACAACCACAAGAAATCATAAGATATGAATCGTTAACATCTCAGGAACAATAACGTATTAATTGTACATATACTATAGGTGTCACAGCACATCCGTGATGTCCATGAACCATAAATTTTTATACCGAAAAAAAATCTGTATTTTTTAATTTGAAAGTGTACCAGTAGGAAAAAGAACGTAATTTGAAAATCGAACCTTTCCTTTTTTAAATCCGATTACAGATCCAATTGCATTCCTAATAAATAAATCATTATTCATAAATAGAAAAGCGCCTCAACAATAAAATTACAGAGGTTGTATAGTCTACGTCAATTTATTACTTTAAATCGACGCCGTTTGGAGACCGATTTGATTTTGAAATATTGGACGTTACCCCATTAACCAGGTACCACTACGGTTCGGGCGAATCGTTTGGAGCACGCGAGGGTTCCGTGCCGATTTACGTTATAAAATTGTCTTTCGATTTAACCTTCGATTACTGAAATTGAATCACTTAGAATCGTCAATTTATGTTTGGTACCTTTAGCGTTACGAAACGGCAAATAGTAGATATACGTACTTAAAACATGGTTGAAGTATTTATAGAAAATATATTTAAGGTTATGCTTCATAATGGGGTAGTCAGAGGGTACAGAGGGAATACAGAGGTTGTCGACTGTTATTGTGGTGTAACACTCGAAATGCTCAGATTTTGTCGAGATTTATTTTTAAATAATATAATTTTAATGTTAACCCCTCCTGCACTATCAGTATACACTGGCGGGGTATCAGAAGGTGATAATAAGTGAAGATATTAACAGGTCAATTAGCCTATTGTAACGAAATCATCTGGAATTCTCTGTAATTAACTGTCAATCTGGAATTAACCACGATTATTTCCAGGAGGTACCGCGTAGAGATCGATCTGGGTATATTGCTAGTAATGAAGCCGTTAGTATCTATTTAAAAAGTTCAAAAAATATTATTTTTGCGTTGAGTTTATTAAAATAAAAAATCTTCATATTAATTTTTCTTAAGTATTTTTTTTTTCGTGATAGAATCCGAAACTAGGATATCCGTAAAAGAACCAAAATAACTGACATAGCTCGAAGGATAAGGAAGCTGAAGTGGCAATGGCTGATCTCGTAACTCGAAGAAATGACAACTAATGAAGAAGAAAGGATCTTCAGTGGCAACCCCATACGAGCAAATGTAGTTGTAGGACGAACCTCGCCCCTCACTAGATAGAATGACGACCTCGAATGAAAGTCCCCCGTAGACTGCCATAAGGAACGGCCCTAAGCCACCCGCTTAGGGCCGTTCCTTATGGCAGTCTACGGGGGAGGCCTATGTTCAACAATGGACAGATGATGGAGATGGTGATGGTAATTTTTAATGCACAGGTATAGTCTAGTTACAAATTTATAATATTAGTAAAAATATTTACGACTAATCGAATGAAAGATATAAAAAATAGACAACAATTTATATAGAAAGAAAGAAAGAATGTATATATATATATATATATATATATATATAATACTGGCCTGTAAATTATTGACACTGACGGAAAATAATAAAATATAACTAATCCTGTGTCATCATTGTAATTGTGATATTTACATGTTTTCTAAACTTGTCCTAATTCAAAATAAAATTCGATTCACTTAATTTCTATAAAAAAAATCAGCGGTAGCAAAATGAACTCGGAAAAAGAGCTAATTGACGCGATAAAAGATCTTTTGAAGAAAAACGGCCACTTGAATAAATTACAAGCAGAGGTAATTAAAAATTGATACCGTTCATAAATTATTTTCAATCTTGTTAGCATTTCTCAATGATCAGAACACAGAGTCTCTGTACTATTCGTTTTAAAGTACATTTTTTAATATAAAGTATTATTTCAGTTCAAAACATTAATTATGTTACGTATTAAATTGTATATTACATCTTTTTAATGTAAAATACGTACAATAAAGATTTTACAATACAATACAATACAACTCTAAAAAAGATAGTAATATTTTTTTCTATACTAATCTATTTATTTGTAAAAGGAAAACCAAGACTTATTTACATAAAAAAATAACTACAAGATAACAACAATGAAGCCACCTTTAGGTTTTCAGCAATAGACACAATATACAAAATTTGACAATGCTTGCCTCAGATAAATAACTCAAATAAAAGATTATTTATCTCAGACACCCACAAAGATGAGGCAAACATGTGTCCTACATATAATATAGAATATTTCCTAATATTATTAAGACGAAAGATTTTGATTGTTTGTTTGTAATAGATACATTTAAAAACGACCTAGATAAATCTCCATTATCAGCAAGTGACATAGTTTATTACTTTCGAAAAATTCTATACACGCCATCTATTATAATATATTTATATCTGTACCAGTATTGTTAGTCTTATATAAATTAGCGGACTAGTGTAACTGGTTGAACACCAACCACAAACCACAAGGCACCAACCCGCACTGAGCCCGTGATGGATGAAGGGTCATAACTCCCTCCAAAATATATATTGTTTTTCAAATATACAATTGTAATTTTATTTTTTTAAATAATCTTTATTTATCAATCTTAAACAAAATAGCATTCTTATTAATATACTATTGACGGACCCCGTCTGAACGGTTTTTCGAAAATAAAATAAAGTCCTTGTACTAGCTGATCAAGTAAGTTAAGCTAAATTAGTTAAGTACTCGCTCTTAATATAAAATTCTATAGGTGAAAGAATTTTTTTAATTACTTTTTTTTTATTTATCCATTATAAACAAAAAAATAAATAGTCATAAAATTATTGTTTGCATTTAAATACATTTTTAGTGCACACTATAATTTTATGACAAGTACAAGTTTAAATAAATAAAATAAATAGCATTATTATTTTACTGTTAATCATATTAAATTATTAATAAAAAGAAAAATATAAAAAAGATAATGCAACAGAAATTTATACGGTACCTTTTGCTCAAATTTTTACTTACACGAATTTAAACGAGCTATACATATGTTGATTAGCCGAGATAAAATAAAAGTTACAAAAACAAAACATTTACATGTATATATCTGAATATGAATAATACACAGGTAACAATTTTAATACAAAAATGTAATAAGGAACCATCGCTATTGGGGTTAAAATGGAAGTGGTCCTACCTAGGAGCAACTTTATACCGTTGAGGCGGGCCCTTTGATATTCTCGATTTACGCTTTGGCCAGATGCCTGCAAACAGCCAACTCTTCTCGTTTATAGTTCTCAATTTATTTTGAGAAAATGTGGTGGAAATTTATAACACGAATCTTAAATTGTTTACGTTCAACAGTTACGTACTACACCCATACGCAATATCTTTTAAATTTTCAAATGTAATCTTGTATGAGAATATTTTGGTTTAAAAAACACTTCTATCGCGAACACATTTATACAAATACATGACTAAAGAATTACAGATACATTAGATTAAATAATATTTTATTTTAAAATGTGAAATTACGTGCATACAGTTTTTTCTTCTCGATCAGTAAGTGCGTTTTGCTCCATAAATTGAAACGGCAGCTTCAACCATGTAAATCCATTGCAAAAAAAATAATATCAAAATTCATGCAAAATTACATGTAACATAATATTATAAGAGTAACTACAAAAAAGCCATAATTTAATATTGTGTTCCATAAAAAAAAAAACAGATGTCAATTGTAGCAAAACCAGTTATTTTTTATTTTAAAAGTAAACTACTAAACCATTTTTTTTATAAAACTAACCTGAAAGTGTAATCTTTCAGATAAAAAAGAATTATCCAAATCGGTCCATAATTGAAGGAGTTACGAGGTAACAAACATAAAAAATTACATCCGAATTGATAACCTCCTCATTTTTAAGCCTGTTAAATGAGAACTTTCCTCTTTTGAAAGTAAGTTAAATGCTTAAGTTAAATATAAGTCGGTGAATTTATACAATAAATGTTGTTTTTGAACAGGTTTAAATGTTTCTTTTTTTTTTGTTTTAATCGTCTAGTAAGAATAATTTTTAATTGAAAGAAATAATATTTGAATGTCTATAATAAAAATCACGCGATCTTCTTTCTCGTAAAAATATTTTTTCTTAATTAAGAAAGTGTTTAAATTGTACTACCAAATTTAAAAGTATTTATTTATTGAATTTATTAATATCCTATTCAAGGGTTTTCGTAGTGCAATTATACTAATCTTATTTCAGAATACATAAAATAAATAAATTAACTACTACGATATCATTAGTATATACTGAATAAAAAGTAACAAATTAGTTAAAATAAAAAAAAATATGTTTTTTATTCTATCTTATACTTGAACGAAACTCTGATAATGTAAAACACCGATAACAAACCAGATTAACCCGTGACAGAACCCTAAATTCATATTTATCACGTTGGATTCATTTGTAATATTATTGTTTAATTTCTTTTTAAATTTGTAAAAATAGCTGTAGCTATCTACACGTTGGGAGAACAGCAAGTGAGCAATTAATACGTAAAAAATAAACTAGAGTCAAGAATGTATTTTTTTTTCAAGAATATCTTTTAATGCAACAATTAAAATACCAAGGACGCACTACAAGTCTTAGAAACTGTAAATGAAGTGAGTTTATACTGAAATAAATAAATTTCAGTTCAGAGTATATTCTTTTATTAATGTCTTTCAATGCAACAAATAATAGCTATGACTCATTACACATTTTGAGAAATTGCAAGTGAAGTGAGCAATTTATACTTAAATAAATAAATTATAATCGAGAGCACATTGTGTTATATTTTGTTCTATTTTTTGACGTATTTTATTGCAATACTTTTAATATAATATTAAGCCTTATTCTAATTATTATGTAATACTCCATTACTACATTACATTTCAATGTTTAATCCGCCCTCGATTCTTTCAAACAAAGATGAACAGTTTGAATAGGAGTCGAAGCTCGCTTTTGAAACCTCAATGAAATGGAACTAAAACGTAAGACCCGATCACTAGACAAAGCTTTTCAATTTACAGATGCGGGCAAAAGTAACAGAAGTTTTGCAAGAAAGACAAGTTTTGAACTCCGGTGACAGGAGGTCCGCACCGCCTCCCACCGAAGAGGTACTGCTGGTCAACGAGTTAGTAAGAGAGTATTTGGAATGGAACGGGTACTTGTATACTGCGTCGGTTATGGCATCTGAAGCAGCGATGCCTAATGAGAAAAAAACAAGGTGTATAGATGTAATATAACAAACTCATGACAGATTGATAATTTAAGATTGGGTTGTAATGTAATTGTAGATTTGTAAATTCTACCTATACCATAAGAGCCTTTATTTATATGTGCATTTTCTTGCCTATCTATCTCGCTCTAACATACATGTTAATATATTTTTTTCTCTTATACACTCTATATATTTTTGATTTAGATCGCAACTGTGCTCTGAGGTTGGAGTACGAGACGATGAGAAGTCTTCAGCTCTGCCGCTACTTTCGAACATCGTCGCGGCTTATACGGAACGGATTAAACGTAAAATTAATAAATGTAAAAAGAATGTTAATTATAATTAATGAAATACTGTTTAAAATAAAATATCTTTATTTCCGCTTTGTTTTTAATTTATCGTCATAATCATCTTGGTGGAGTGGCAGTTTCGCACGTAACCTCAAATGTCCGATGGTTACGAAGTAGATCTCCACACAAAAATGTTATTTGTATTGGTCTAGGTGTTTTCTATATATAGATAGATAGATAGATATATCGTTTATTTGTTTGTTACTAATCACACACAACATGTATATAACATAATATATGTAAATCTATGATTCACGTATCAATATATGTTTTAAAATAATTACAATCTATTCGTCATCATCCTCATCTCAGTCATTGTTCGCCCACTACTGGACATAAGCCTCCCCCATAGACCGACATAAGGAACGGTCTTGATCCACCTGAATCATCATATCAGCCGTTAACTGTCCACTGCTGAACATAGACATCGTCTTATTGGGTAGTTTTGCCAGTAATTGCCACGCTTGGCAGGTGGGTCGACAACCGCAGTTAAGCTTTCATCATCATCATCATCATCATCATCATCATATTAAACGTCCATTATTGAACATAAGCCGTATTGGGTGGTTTTGCCAATAATTGCTTCGCTTGGCAGGCGGATTGGCAACCGCAGTCAGACTTTAGAAATGTTTTAAAAAGGACGCTGCTGCCTATCCCTCGACCTTGAAGCTCCCTTAGTCGCTTCCTATAACACCCACGGGAAAGGAAGCGGCGCCTTATTCTATACCGGTACCACATGGCCAATAAATAATAATACTAATAATATATTCTAAAATTTTGAGCTTTGGATGTTTATAGCTAGTAGCCTATTTTACGCCAGAACCTAACGGGAAATATCAGTGTATTAATCAATATTAATGTAGGCATGTTATTAGTTTCTCATTTTTTTACAATAGCGCATGTAGTCCTTGAATGGGACCATTCATTTTTTCATGCAGCAATGTCTACTTGTTTTATCCCTGTTTTGTAAATAAAATAACAAAGCATTTTTTCAAAAGCTAACTTACATTATACTGGCTTGTTTGAATTAATGTACTTTCTTCTCGACTTTAACGAAAATAAGTCCCGACTGCATCGTATTTTTACAAAGTTATGTTGGAATAAGAAACATAGCGTTCGCTTAAGATGGATAACGTCTTTTATGCTTAGTTCAAGTAAAATAACACACGTCAGCTGGTAAAACAAAGGCTTAAACAGCTACCTATCATATTGTACAGGAAAATAATGGAGCCGAGAAATGTGTGCTGTATTAGGTAAATAAGTTTTTCAGGACTCACAGTTTAGTAGTATTTATGTTTCTTTGTCGTGTGGTTAGAGTATAGAATGGGCTATCCCTTCCTTTCCTGTGGGTGTCGTAGGAACCGACTAAGGGGACTTAATAGTCGAGGGATGGGTAACCACGTCCCTCTTAAAACATCACTGCGGTTGCCAACCCGCCTGCTAAGCGTGACAACTATTAGCAAAACTCCACTTATAGGGGAGGTCTATGTGCAACAGTGAACAATTAACAACTGATATGGTATAGTATATGGTATGTTTCTGTATAAATTTACATATAACTAGAAGTAAATACAGTTAATAACAGAGGGAAAATTTGTACAAAAGTCATCTGCTGGTTTTTTTATGGGTGAAAATGGTATGATAACCCCGCCTGCGCTAACGGGATACGCTGGCGGAGCACCAGTTAAGGGTGATAAATGAGAATGAAAACAGACCAGTACAGACCAGTTAGCCCATCATGATGAATTCATCAGGAATTAACCATGTTAACAACCAGTTTAAGTATCGGATAAACTGGCTCACTCACATTATATACGATATGCTTTCACGTAGGCCAGCCAGCTGAACAGCAGCAGTTCCAAGATGGAGAATGCGTAGCGACGTGAACTTTCTCGCACCACAAGACACTAGAATCCACACACTTCACCAGTGAATAGTACAAATATCCATACAGTTTTTTTTACAACCCAAAACAGAAACGTTCAGGTAGCAACTTGAATGTAAGTACCGACGCTTTTGGGTTTATATAAGTTTTTTAATTAAAACATGGCAGCGATAGAAGCTGCAAACGGAGACACTCGCGCGCGTCGTCTTCACCGACCGCGCGACAAAACCTCGTCGTTCCTATTCGCTGTCGCTTCGCCATTGTCGGGCATGCGCAGAAAAACCGCGCAGACATTCCGCGCGAGATTTGAGTGACAATGGGAGAACACCACTGCAATACGGAATCCCAAGTTACGGCCCAAATAGATCTATATTTTTTTTTACTTTTCTTTTAATTTTTTTTTTTTGTTTTTACTAACATAGTTTATGTCGATTATTATTAATTTATCTGTATATTATTATGTTATATTATTATTATATCAAACTTCATAATTACTGATTGAGCCATTTAATTTGTCAAAAACAAATAAGTGCACTTTCACATTCATAATATCAGACTATTATCTACACTTTGATATCAGTAAGGAAGGCTAATGTTAATATATGTCCATTTCAAGTGAGACTTTTCCGTTACATTAAAAATTTAAACGAAATCTTTTCACTGTAAAAATACATTTCCCGTAATTATTATTGAAAATCAAATGCTGTATAAAAAGTACTCTCAACATTTATTTTGTGAAGATACGATGACCTTAAAAAGAAACAGGTCAGTGATCTCGAAAAACACGAGGAAAAAATATTTGGGAGGGAAGCACCTAAACGTATTTAAGGGTCTTAACGTTTGAACATCTAACGAATCTAAGAGAGAATATTATACATAAGGAATTCAACCAAACATTTCAATGTTATTTACACAAAATTACGTCTGTACATGGCAACGACGTGTATAAGAATATTATAAATCAATCTGTGTAATAAATTATTGGCAACCTGCTTAGGCTTTACCTATTTTTTTTAATCGGACAGATTAAAAAAAATAGATAAAGCCCATATTACTCGGTGATAATTTAGCTTTCTACATATGAAAAAATTTTTAAAATTGATTAAGTAGTTTTTGAGTTTATCCATTGAAAACAATAAATTATTTTCTGTATTTTTTTTTTTATTAGTTTAGGTAAAATAATTAGGTAAAAAAAAAAACATAATCGGATTGATAGTTTACAATTCCCATTTGGGTTGATCTCGAAAATTCATGCAACAAAAGTCAAGTTCTTGTCAAAATTATAAAAAGTTATCTGTAAAACTAGTGCTTGTATTAAAAATTATGTATTGAATGATATAAAATTCTTGAGATACAAGCCTTGAGCTTAGTGTAAGAATCGCTGTTATAGCTATTAATATTCTGTTATGGTTGAAAGCCAATTATTGTAATTGTAAGTAATCTAATCAAGTATTTACATACATAATGTTTAAATAAAAATATATATATTGTCATAAAAATATATATAGAACTTTTGTTTTGCATTATTTAATTGTGGTTTTTAAAAGAAAAAAATTAACGCTATTAGGCAGTTATCTAAAAAACAGTCACATTACCGAGGCATCATCTGCTTGGATTTTTTTTTTATTAAATCTCTTCAATTATAATCATTTACTAGCAGTGATTACGACCAGAATGATGAATTTCAAATGATTACAAAAAGAGTATTCTTAATTTGGTTGTATTTTTTTTTTTACTTTTTTTTACCTCATAACTCCCTCAGTTGTAGATTGATTTGGAATGTTCGTTTTTATCTAAAAACATATACTTACAGATTGGTTTCATAGAAATTTTATTAAAATGAATTCAGTAGCTTAATTTTTAATCTAAATAACTAGTTTTGCTACAATTGAAGTTGGTTTTTTTTTTGGAACACAATCTTAATCTTCTACTCACTCATTGTCACACATCTCGATAATCATAATATTGTCCTTGCACTAATGATTTGTGTATTTGCACGTAATATTAAACATGTCAATTTTATATATTTATAAAGTACGTACATAGAAAACTATAAAATAAGAAAATAAATACGTATTATAGTTTGGTCTTTGTTTTGTATTCATATTTCCTCTGTCCTATGTTAGTTTATGAAGCAAAATGACAGACTCATCAGAAAATCGTATATTGCTTAGTGCTGTGTTCATTTCCCTGATTTCAATTCTACCATAATGAACCGGTCAATCAATGGGATGTTAGGTACGTCCGCAAAGGAAGATCAAACAAAACATACATTCGTGATAGGATGATGTTATGACATTTATGTAGTAATGTATGACATATATGCATAAACTAGGTACAGTTGTAAGATCACAAGGTGCTAGTTAGTTAAACAGTAGATGACACTTAGCTCAGATATCTTGAGTACAAAGGGATTGGATTAGCCAACTAGTCCCAATATTGATAGTACCCATTTCGTGACGTAATTGTAACGGAACTCATTGCTTGGTACTGTGACAGATAACTAAGAAATACATGTTTTTAATCTGTCGAGCGTTTGCTCAAAGAAATTGTACATAATGCGCAATTTCTTTCAAATTCTCCCATCGATCGGCGGCCGAGCAATTTCCAATACAAAACAGCCGTTCCAATTTCGAATGTGTGCAATTTTTTTACTTCATTTCAATCACGTGTAATTCGATTCAAACGGGTTACTAGGCAAAGCTCAACCTTGCATACAGCTTTAGCAAATTAACGACGCTCAATTGTGCCCGTGATAAATGATCGTTGCTTTTGTACTATAATGAGAACATAGTCCTGCCATTGAAGCTAATGGACTAGAGTTATCGCTGGAACATTAGTCCACGACTGAGTCTCTCCTGTCACAACTCAATAAGATATACTTACGTATATTTCATTAATTGAATGGCCTCTCGCTTCAACAGATCCGACTAACAGGCAATACTTATAAATGGTGGTAAATAAAAATAATCAATTTTATTATGTAATATAATTTTATAAATAGTACACAAATAACATGCCATAGCATGCAGTATTTCCGAACCGATACGACAACATAACCTTGAAGGTTATGTTGTCGAAAAGAGCATATTC